GCGGCGGGGCCCGTGAGCCATGGCCGCTGAGCCTGCGCGTCCGGAGCCTGTGCTCTGCAACGGGAAGGGCCACAGCAGTGAGAGGCCCGCGTACCGCAAAAAAAAAAAAAAAAAGTTTCTCTCTAGTAAAGGCACCTTCATTCATTCAAGGAGGAACCAACCTTTATTTATTATCAGGTGCTTGAGGTTTTTATTCCTCACAACAACCTTAGCAGGAAGGTAATATCACCACTTAGTAAATAAATGACCCAGGCTTAGAGAACTTTAAAAACTTGTCCAATGTCACTGGTTTTTGTCTGATTATAATTTCCATGCTTCTTCCACTACACCATACTTCCTCTCATTTTTGCAAACACTTAATTGGGTTTCTATTCTGTGCCAAAACTGATGTTAGGTGTTAGGATAAGAAGACAAATGAAACGCTGAGATTATATATATGAAAATACATTTAAAATTTTAAGGCATTTTGTATCATTGATTCTCTTTTTATAATTTTTTTTTTAATGTGGACCATTTTTTCTTTTAGTCTTTATTGAATTTGTTACAATATTGCTTCTGTTTTATGTTTTAGTTTTTTGGCCTTGAGGCATATGGGATCTTAGCTCCCTGACCGGGCATCGAACCTGCACCCCCTACATTGGAAGGCGAAGTCTTAACCACTGGACCAGAGCACAGGCTCAGCGGCCATAGCTCACGGGCCCAGCCGCTCCGCGGCATGTGGGATCTTCCCAGACCGGGGCACGAACCCATGTCCCCTGCATCGGCAGGCGGACTCTCAACCACGGCGTCACCAGGGAAGCCCCCGATTCTTCTTAATTGGAACAAATTCAGCCTAGTGGAACAAACTGGAAGAAATAATTCTGTCTTCTGAATTTCTCTTGCCTTTTACCTCCTTTGCCAAGCCTGTCTTACTACACTTGAATTCAAACTTCCACCCTCTGAAGTTTGCCCATTTATCTAGTCATTCAGATTCTTAAAACATACTTTAAAATTAATTTATTCAACAAACATTTATAAGGGGGGTATTATATTCAAAGCACAATGCTAGGTTAATGCTGGGGATACAAAAATGAACAAGACCAGCCAAGTGGAAGAGATATACAGTAACTTCAGAGCAATGTGAGAAGCACTGAAAAGAATTATGAGATTGTGGGGAAAAGAGCTGTGAGGCTATGGGAAGGGAGGAGGTGATCAAAGATGAGGAAATGATCCTTAGATAGGGTAGAGGAAGAAGTATGCTCCAGACAGAGTGAAAGGATGTGCAGAGGGAGAGAGGTGCTTGGAAGTCATGAGAGTTCAGCTGGGTTGGAGGCCATAGCTCAGGGGCAAGCTAGAGAAGCTGAGGCAGGAGCTGGGAAACTCTGCTTTATCTTTTTTCCCTTCCAATACAGAACTATGGCCTAGGATTAGAACCATGTTCTAGAAAGATGGCTTCAAGAGACACTTTGGGAACATTTGTGGAAAGAAGCCAGTTAGGAGGGAGGGCCCCATTTGCCTGGATTCACTGTTATTCCCCTCATCTCCAAAAAAGAATTGCAAATTCTACAACAAAAGGAGCTATTTCTCAGTATTCTTTTATGTTCTTCGGGCTTTAATACAGTACTATGGGGCTTCTCTGGTGGCGCAGTGGTTGAGAGTCCGCCTGCCGATGCAGGGGACGCGGGTTCGTGCCCCGGTCTGGGAAGATCCCACATGCAGCGGAGCAGCTAGACCCGTGAGCCATGGCCGCTGAGCCTGTGCATCCCGAGCCTGTGCTCCGCAACGAGAGAGGCCACAGCAGTGAGAGGCCCGCGTACCGCAAAAAAAAAAAAAGAAAAATACAGTACTATGTACAGTAACTTTATCTGACAAATGGTTGTTATGTATTTTTTAGGTCAATGAAAGTAATACATTGCCTCTGGTTGCTACCTAGTACTGCTTTGTAGCCTAATAATTGAGGCTAATGTAATTATTTAGAATACCTGGGAAGCTAAAAAGAGAAGTGGCCTCTCTGGGATAATTTCTACTTTCTTGTCTCCCTGGATAATTTGAGGGGTGGGATGGGATGCAGTTGGCTAAACATTTTGAGTCTGTACAACAGGATACATTACATTTGACTTGATTAATATAACTCAGCAATTATCTAATGAGTCCTACTCTGGCCTATGCATTATGCTATGTTTGATACGGAAATACAGATATGAGTAAGGAACACTCTCTGCTCTTGTGAGCTCATATTGGGTACTGTAGGGGGAAATAGACATTTTAACTTCGGTGTAATAAAATCTGTTCACGCTATGTTAACCATATGAACAAACTGCTGTAGGAAATAGAGAAAGGTGACAAAATAGCTCACAAGGTTGTTGTGGGGATTTTTTAAAAAGTTAAAATATGTGTAAATGAAAAATAATGTCATAGTCTTAGCTCTGATTATTACTCAGCAAACCCTGCATTTCTATTGGTGTTGGTGATCGTTTGCAGAATATGCAGCCCTAGCCTTTCAGGAGTTGCTGTTTCCTCTAAGCCTAAGACTTCTTTAGTCCGGCTGAACCAAAAAGAGTTTCCGGATAGTTATGCAGGTCTGGGGGGGAAAGGAGGATCCCACAGCGCCTGCGAATTTGCGCTTGTGGAGGCGGTTATACTCGGCAGATTACGGCAGGGGGCGGGTCCCAAATCCCCATGTGGTCCCGACATCATTGACATGGCGGAATCCCCCATCTAACCCTCCTGGTAGTTATTTGAGCGGCGGCTGCGGCCGGACGACTAGGAGAGCGGCGGCTGCGGCAGGGATTCTCGGGGCTGGCGGCTGGGAAGGCGTGGGAGACCCGGTGTGTGGCGCGCCCGGAGCCCCGCGTTTCAGCCCGAGAGAAGGTAAGGCATGCAGGAGGGGGAGAATGGGGGGGACCCGGACCCCGAGTCTCAGCCGCCGGGTCACGGCGCGCTGGAAAGCCCCGACCGGACGCCGAGTCCGCCAAAGTGCGTGCCTGTCCCGGAGCGCTCCGGGCGCGCCGGGCTTCCCGAGGAAAACTTGGCGCCAGAGTGCTGGGGCGCCCCGTGCTCGTCTGGGCACCCCGGGAACACTGGGCCCGGGAGCGGGGGTCGGCCAACGCTTTGGGGCGGCGTCTTACTGGGCTCTGGGCCCCCGCTCGTCCCCCCAGCTGGCCAGGGCTTGGAGGAGGGAAAGAAACGGGTAGATTCTTCTTGATGGAAAAAAAAAAATCTGGGCAGTGGTTCCCGGGTTCTCCTTCCCCCCGCGCCCTCCCAGGCCTTCCCAGCAGATTTTGTCCGAGGAATCCGCTCCCCCTCCCGGAATCTCCGCGGCAGGAACGCTACCCGGGAGGGGGAGGGCGGGCGGAGGGGCCGAGGAATCTTCGACGTGTCACTTTCTGAGGCTGTAGATTTCCATATGGTGCAGGGAGGAGGGCGGGTGTGCGAAGTGGGGCTGGAAGTTGGGGCCGCTTCTCCGCGCCAGGCGGGGGCGGGCCGGGACCTCCGACCCGGGGATGCTCGCGGGGAGGGTCCCGAGCCCGCGCCGGCCCCCAGCCCAGGCCTCTCAGGGACACTCCCCGCCTCGCCGCTGGCCACCTCCGTGCGCGCCACGTCCTCCCTCCCCGTCCTGCCCCCCGGGCTCCCCCCGGGCTGGGGGCGGTAACCGGCGGCTGCGGCCGGACTCGGCGAGCAGGCGGCTGGAAGCTCGGGCGGGGGAGTGGGGCGCGGCGGGAAGGAGCGGGCGACCGGGTGTGTGGGCCAGCGTAGCTCCGGTCAGTCGGTCACCCCGAGGGGCGCCCGGGCCGGGGTGGGGCTGGCGGGCGGAATCCGTGCCCAGAGGCGGCCGGGAGGGGCCGCGCGGACCGTCTGGTGCCCGCGGCGGGGCGGGGGCCGGACGGCGTGGGAAGGGCCTGTCACTCTGGGCGGAAAGTGGGGCCTCGGGCTGTGCCCGCGAACTTTCCCAAAGGCCCGGTCCCGGCGCCCTGTGGGAGCCCGAGCACCCGAGCCCGGTGTCTCTGGAGACTGGGTTGGGCCGCCCGGAGGCGCCGTTGGCCGGGAGGCTTCCAGGAGTGCGCGGTTGGAGTTGGAGCTTTTCGAACCTCAATTCCCACCCTTCTATCCCTGACGAAGGGAAGCAATGGCATTTTATCCAGACAGTGCCGTTTGCGGACTTAGTTAAAAGTTAAAACTTTTTATTTTATTTTCTCATCAGTCCAGTATGTTCTTGAAACAAAATTTGGAATTTGGCCGCGACGGGCCAACGCTGGGGCCCCAAATCCACACGTTTATCTCTCCATCCCTGTAGGTTTCTAGTCTTCCTCCCCATCTTCTATCCAGGGTTAATCATATTTTGGGACAGGCGAGGTCGTTTGTTCGGTGGGCACCCCCTGATTGCTTGTCTATTTTTTAATGTGCAGTTATTTGAACTTCCTCCAGTTTCCAGGCCCTGGTGGGGAAAGCTAAGGAAGAGGGAATACGCCACCTTTTTTTTTTTTTTTTTTTAATGTGGAGAGAGGTGGGGCATTGGAAAAGGGGAGGCACGGTGGTTGTAGGCAGAGAGTGAGAGGGAGCAGACAGACCCGGAAGAAAAGGAATCTGCTCTGGAATAACCCTTTTTTTTTTTTTTTTGGAGGTTTCTGGCCTCGGGCAAAAATGCACCGCTCTGTTCTCATTTCTACTGCCTGAGTTGCTCTTCACTCTCAAGTTAACGCTGTGACTCTGGGGCCCTGGACAACGCCCGGGGGAAGAGACCCGCAGCCACAGCCAAGAGCAGCCCGTGGCCCTGGTTTTGTGCCTTGCATTGGGCCCCGTGGTTCTCCCAGATTGGAAGCGGCCTCTGTGGAACCAGCGTTCAGTAAATTTCTTGGCTCCCGGGGAGCAGCTGTTAAAGAGGGTAAAGTCTTTGGGCATGCTTCTGGTCCTGCAAGGGGACTCCCGCCTATAAGGGTGTAATTCTCACTTTGTTTAGACGCTAGAGGGTCACCCACAAGCTGGCTAAGAGTGCGGCATAGCTGGTAGAAAGAAAAAGTCTCTAAAAAATGGTACTTAGACTCGTATGTGCTTTTAAAGTGTTTTGGTTTAAATGCTTCTAAGAGAAAAAAATTCTATGTGAAGATAGCGTTCATTTTAAAAGAGATCTTAAAACTGCAAGATACCATCATGGAATAGGAGGTTGTAGCTTCTAATTACAGTATGTACAATATCAGAAAGATATTCCAGTAACCTTTTAAGACAGACCTTATAAATAGCTCACATCAGACCATGGGCTGGCTGTATTGGAGAGCCAGTCTTCCGGGGTTTCTGGAGGAATGCTTGGGATCCGTTAGGAAGCTGGCTGTAGGAGCCTGAGTAGTAGTTTACTCAGTAGGAGTTTGTGCCCCTTTTGCTTAACACTTCATTTTATGTGGTAAAATTTGATAACATCCTTAGAACTGAAAACCTGAAGAACTTCCCAGCTTATCAGTTTTAGGAAAATGAGGCCCAGGGAGGGGAAGTGACTTGTTTGGTGTTGGCGATCAGAGATTAAAATCCAATACAGGATTGTATTAATAGCTACTCTTTTTTGGCTATCTAATGTGTACTAAGTACTGTGTATTGTGTTTTTTATATATTATCTCATTACAATTCTAATCTTTCAATTTAGGTGATGTTAAGGACATTTTATAGACAAGGCATTGAGGTTCACAGAAATTTAGTAACTTGTGTAAGATTACATAGAATTTTCTTCTGTGATGCAAATGGTTTTATATCTGTGCTGTCCAGTATGGCAGCCACCAGGCACGTGTAGCTGTTGTACCATTTAAAATGTGGCCAGTTCGTTGGAGGAACTGCATTTTAAATTGTATTTACTTTTAATTATCTTAAACTGCTACTTGTGGCTAGTGGTTAGGTACCATATTGGGGATTGCAATGTAGAACTTTCAGACTCAAATCTATTCACGTTTAACTGGGTCCTATTGCTTTTAAGATCTTGTAATTCAGTTTTCTTTCTTCCATACCACCAGAGGAGGATTATATTCAACTCTTAAGTGGAATTTAAATACTGGATTACGTATAGCTCAAAAACAAGCAAAAAATGTTTTTTTAAAAATACTTGGATGTCATGGTAAAAACTGATAGAAAAAAACTTTGTGACATTTTCTGTTTGATTGCAATAAACTGCCTATAGGAATTGCTGACAAGGTAGTCAGAGCTTCTTGGTTATTTCAATGTAATAAAAGTATAAGTAGGGAGCAGCATGAAAAATCACTCATGGGGAGTTGAAAAAAAATTACCCCCGATACCCATGGTTACTTGTTAATTCGGTGATTCTTTTCAAATGTCTTCATTCAGGTAAATAATATAGCCAAACTATCTATCACTCACTTTTCCTTAAGTAGCTGCACAATTAATCTGAAGAATTAAAATCATTGCTTTACTACCAGAGAATGAAATTCAAATATAAAGCACTAGATCTGTCTGTGAACTGGGAAGAAACTGTTTAAGATTGAAACAAACAGCAAGAAAGGTTCTTTAGGTGGCATATGGTCAAATTGTTTCCTGATTAGTGGATTTAATTTAAATCTGTTACCTTTTAGAATTTATTTGGTAGAAGGAATTTCAACAACTTTTTGATTTTATATGAAATAGTGAAAATTCCAACTCATGTTAAAGTAAGCATTCATTTATGTGGACTTCATTCATAAATATCCAGTAACCCAATACCTTTTTCTTTCCGTTTTTTTTTTTTTCTTTTGCATACTGCTTTCAGGAAAAGACAGATGATAAAATAATCTCTTTTTATTAGAATTTTAAGAACAGTAACTTCCAGATTCATTATAAATATATCTGAATCTGCTGTATCTTTCATAGTTACTGTACTGCTCAGGGATAATTGCAGCTCATAATCCTGACCCTAGAGCATTATATGATCCTTAAAGACCTACCCAAGTAAATCAGCTTTAAATTGTTCTATATTATTTTAGTGTTATGTGAATTGCATGGCCTCCAGCTCTGAAAATTGTAAATTCACCTAAAGGTGAGACATCAGTTAGACAATCAGATAGCTGAAAAACCCTTTCATACCCATTCCTGACTATTGGGATCATAGTTATTTTCAAGCAACCAACATAAGAACCATGTTATTGGATTATAGTGTTCTTGTGAGTGTGACAAATATTGGAAACATGATTTAACTCAGGATGTATGGTTCCATTTTTAGGACATCAAGGTGCTTAGTACAAATGAGATGTAATTTAAAAGATAAAGATATCGAAATGATTGGCAAAGATTAGAAATCTTATACCCCCTGGTGCAGGCCACATCTGAGTATGGGTTTGAAATCAGAATATCTAATCTGTCAAGGACTTAGTTTACTTCTTGGCTGTGTGTCCCTGTTGGACTACTGAACCTCTCAGTCTGGGTTTCCTCATTTTAGTATAAGGAGAAAACATCTCACCTGTACCATTTTGCAGGTGGTTGTCACAAGGGGTTTATGAGTCAGTGTATTGAAAAGTGTTTAGCAAAGCCTTATACAAACTCCATAGTTCATTATATTCCAAAGTTTAAAAACTGAGCTGTTCTTACAGTATTACTTTGTATGTTTTCAGAGACCTCCAAATTGTGTTTGGACACTTTGAAAAGTGGTTTATTTTTTCCTTTGTGACGAGTAAATAAAGTTTCAGTCTTTAGATTGCAGTTTCATTTTCTCCCTACTCCTAATGTAATAGTTGATCTGTGACCTCTCCAAAGTTG